TCATTGGCTTCATCACCGACGTCTCTAGCAACCGTTGTTCTACCCAGCACATCCAGCGCGGTAGCAGCCCCGGTTCCATCTTCGAGTTCAGCCGCCGTAGACTCTAGCGAATCGGATCAAGCGGCCGTCCCAGTCCCGACGTCGAGTTCGTTATCAACCGTTGAAGACCCCAGCACCTCAGCCTCAGTACCAGCAACAACATCAGCCGCAGAAGTAGCCACTTCATCGGTCGAGTCATCAGCCGCAGTAGTCACGACCTCTTCAGCTGCAGACACCGCCCCGGCAGCTGGCGCATCCTCAATCGCACTACCGATCGAGTCGACCCCGTCCGTGGCTCAGGCGACGACAGCTGTGGTGGCACAATCATCGATCGCCCTCCCTGCGCAAGAAACACCCGCCGCCGCCGCTACCGACGTCAATCTCGCAGCCGCAGTTGTTCCAGCCGTCATCACAGCGACGACGTTCGCCGGCGCCAACGAAGGCCCGCCAATCAACTTTAGCGGTGTCAATCTGAACTCGGTGATTGACCTTGGTCCTGTCGCGTAATCGATGCCGTTATCGCGGCCTGCATAGCTGCCTGTCTGGTGACGAAGAGGGGTGAAAGACGCGGGAGGATTACTAGCATATCAGAAGCTGTTCTACACGGTAATTGCTTTGGGATATACTAATATATATAAATAAATCTCCTAGGCTCGATCTTGAGAAACCAAAAACCCCTTGTGGAGTATTTATCTTCTTGGTCATATAATACAATACAAAGAACTTGACTCTGTATGCTTCACTGCGGGATCTAGTTAGAGGATTAATGGGATAATTGTTCATATTTTTATTTTTATTTTCTTCAGTAGACATATTCACTCGCGCCTGCATGTGCACCGAACTGGAGCATTAATAGCAGATTCGCATAGATGTAGCTCTACTCGGGACAAATATTACATTTTAGACATCCGCGTCCCTTGTACATTTCTAGCCGTTGATGAAAAGTCAGAAGGATGTTGTTCGAGACTTTTTTTGAAGTAGCAATTCTATTCAGGGGGTATCATATGTTTAGTTTTCCTCTCCCAATCCAATGTCCAAAACGCCGGTTTCTCCTTTTCACACATGCTCTATACGACAACAATGCACGAGAAATGCATCACGTACCAGCCGCCCCGTCTTCCGCCTGTTTTTTCCTCAAGGCCGCCTTCATTTTCTTCGCCTGGCGCTTGCTCATTGGCTGCTCCTCGCCGGCCCCTCCCGGTGTTTCCGTCCTATTTGCAGTTCCGGGGGTAGAAGTGTCGTTACCATCGCCATTCTTCCTCTTCTTTCCCCCAGCGCCGTTCGCTTCTTGGCTCTTATCTTTCCTCTTGCCCTTGTTTCCCTGCGTGTTTCCGGAAGCAGCTTCGGCACTGCTATCCTCCGCCTCTCCCATCTCGACATCGGCTTGTTCGCGGTCCGCAACCCCGACGATATCCACGACACCCCGGAAGCTACTACGCTTGAGCCCCTCGTTGACGACGACGCCGCGGGGTAGCACACCCAATCCCTCAGTGGCGCGATCTGTCGACAAACCCCACACGTGAAGCAAGTTTACAACGTCGGCGGGGGCGCGCAGGCCCAGCACCGATCGCGCCTCGCTGCTTATCACGATCCCCCGGCCACGAGTTGCACGGATCAGTGACGACACATTGCCAATGAAGGCCGCACGGGCGCGGGCGTCGACGCCCACTCCTCCATTGCCAGCATACCCGCCATTACCGTCCTTAGCGCCCTTAGGTCCGAGGAATTGCGCGGGAGCCGGCCCCTGCAGAGCCTGGGAGTAGCACACCTCGAAGCGCACGCCGCGATTCACGGCGAACATGCAGGGCTTGGGGCGGAAGGTGAAGGGCTGGCGCACGGTCAGGTCGAGCGATATCAGCGAGATGTCGTTGAGGTTCAGGCAGGCGGCCGAGAAGCCGTCCTCGGACTGCGGGCGCACGGCGAGGATGTCGTAGGCGGAGGCGAGCTGGGGCAGGCGGTGGTGCTGCGACGCTTCGCTTAGGACGAGGGTTGCGCGGCGGAGGACGGTGGGGAGTTTGGGTTGTTGGGGGCTGGAGGATGAGGCGGTGGTGGGAGAGTCGAATTTGGGAAGCGGATTCGTGACTTGGGGCGGTACGGCCCCCCCGATCGTGTGGTTCAGCGCGACGACGTCGTAGCCGAGGGATGCGCTGAAACGGAGCGTGCGCTCCAGGTCTGCGGCGCTTGTGGAGGGGGACCACGCGATGTTGAGGTCGTAGAGCATCCTGAAGTGTGGTTATGGGCACAAGGCCCGCGGATACAGAAGATGCGAGAATCTATACTGTGCGATATTATTAGAAGCAAGGTGTTGGGAGGGCTAGAACTCCAAGCTACAATCCAACATTATGTCGTGAAAAGAGGACGGTCTATCGCTACCTAATCCGGTCAATAAATTTCTTATCGGATCGAGCTCCAAAGTGCGACCCCAGAGCTCATGTGGAGTCAGGTAACACAACAGCTCCGAACCAGCCTGTAGCCAAATGCCGTATACGGAACAGTGGCCAAGTTATAGTGGCTGCATCCCCTCTCTCTCAGCGTGCTTGGCTGCTACATCCGAGGTTCCATAGCACAGCCTCAGTGACGCGGCATTCCGCTTCCAACATGTCACCGCATCATTGTTAGAACACACCATTTGCGCCGCCTGTGCCGGTCACCTCATTTCGTTTCCAACAGCCAACTGTACAATACCCTATAATCGCCAGATTGGGTTCTACCTACCTACCTATCGCATCGCATCTTCATCATTTGTGGCATCCAAGACTGTTTGCGACGCAGAAACCACCTCCAGGCTTCCGTTTCCCAGCTACACCACCGTTGCGCCCTACGCCATCTTACTTAATAGCTATCACAAACCGAACACAGCCTCAGCCGCACACGCCGAACGATGTGTCTGATTTTCACCTGCGGCGAGCACACCTTCCGCAAGGAGGTCGAGGGATACGAGGGTATCACCTGCCAGTGCCACAACTGCGGTAACTACTCCGCGCACGTCATCAAGAGCAACCCATGGTTTACATTCTGTTTCATCGTGAGTTCCTCCTTGTATTTCCTCTTTTTCTTCTTCTTCCCACTCTCCTCTCTTATCCAACATTTACGCGTCAAACCATACTGCCGTAATACGTGCGCAATCGCGGACCTGGATCGTACACGTGTATTAACTTGTTCATCACACAGCCCGTCCTACCGCTCTCCTTCAAAGGCTACCATGACGTCGTTTGTCACGTCTGCAATTTCGCCCAGCCGCTCGAGAACAGACCCGATGTCATGAACATGAAGGGTGGAGGCAACAACATACCGATGCAGAACCAATATCCTCCTCAAGGCTGGGGCGGAGGCCAGCCGCCACCACAGGGTCAACCGCCTATGCAGTATAAGTAATATGGACACCGAGGCCGGCAGGGCATGGCCGACGAGGAGGAAGAGGCATACGAACAAGGCATTGTATGAGAATCGGCAGCGAGCGAGCAGTGAAGGAGAGTAATTCTTGAGTCATGCTCAGTCCCGTGTACATCAGCGGCCAGGAGAAAAGGTTGCAGGGGCATAGGGGCTTTAGGTGCAGTTCATGACATGGCGTTAAAGGTGTATGGAGGGTCTTTGAGTTTATAATCACCGCTATCAGCATAGCAAAACCGCATAAGCTTTTCCTTTACCAGCCTGTACTATGCTTAACATACCAGATACCATGATCAGTTTCCCCGTTATTAGTAATGACACCCATTTATTTCCTTTGCGCCCTATCCCTTGTTATAAAGTGAGCACAGTAATGACAAAGTTGATCATATATAAGTGACCCTTCTATTAGTACGAATCAATTTCAGGACAGTTGGAGATGAGTTTAGAGACAAGACGTTGATGTAGGACTCAGTTAAAGTATACACGAGCGTGTACCAATGTTAATGCCAAGGCTGCCGCTACCACAACCCGCAGACCCCTAAGGAGGGCCAGATATAATAAAACTAAAATCGACAGATTAAGGATTAAAGAATTTAGGATTAAATAACCCTGCTTGCACTTAGTGAATTGATTAAATATTTACAGGTTTTAGTATTACTAAAATGTTTATTGTACGACCGGTTACTAACCAAAAGCACCATGTGAAAGCACATTGGCTGACCTGACTTGACTGACCTGGTTGACCTAACTAGACCTAGCTGACCTCGCCGTAAAATTGGAGTAACTGACTTAAAGTGGGTTAGATTCTTCCAATGAAACTACAGACAGCTTGTACCTCCGCAATTTTTCCATTTTCTTCTCTTCACCATTATCTCTTCTGCCTCGCTATACGGTCTTCTGCCTCGGTGTGTGCTGAGCCGTAATGTCACAGAAAAACAACCCCCAGTATTACAAGTACCGGGAACCCGGGTCCATCGAAAAATCGAGAGGTGATATCTTGCTTCTCTCTCAACGATCTATTCAGGTTAGGACATCAATCAGCAGATCATATAAGCTTCTTGAAGCTAAGAAGCGGTATGCATTTTCTACCGTATTCGCAGTACCTTAGCAAAATATTCATGTTTATAGAAAATACATATATAGTAAGATAATTCCATTCATTGGAAACAGTCCAAGATATATTCAAGCTTCACCTGAAAGTAAAAAGGATGTGAATCAGTGGTACCAAATTCCTTAGAAACTAGGAGACACAAACACCTTAGCTCTTGTAGCATGCGTCGTAACAGCAGGGGGAAGTAGGGGTAACGTGAACTCAACTCCGTTGCTCTACTTGGTACTTTGATAAATGATACTGCACTTAATTATAGACAAGATATTCTAGGTGGCGTTCTATTTATTCCCCGTATCTACTGCCTCTCCAGAGCTATTTATCACATGAAGTTGAGTTCCTTTGTTTTGGACCTAAAATATGTATGCTACCATCACCAGTTAGCTCTGGGTGCGTCCACAACCTCCCAACACCACCCACGCTATGACGACAAACAATTCGTCCTCTTCCAACAACAGACACTGGTGAGATGGCCGAGTGGTTATGGCGCCGTGTTCAGGAACACCTTTCGTTAGGATCGTGAACAATTCGCGGTGGAGCAATCCGCGTGGGTTCGAGTCCCACTCTCATCATCACGATATTTTTGCAGTTTTGTCTTTTTCTTTTGTTTTTCTTCTTTCTTTGCTAGGTATATTTGCTTAAGAGGCTATTATTTTGGTGTTGTGGGTTCCTTGTTCTATGTGTGCACCAAATTGTGATATTCAAACAGATTGATAAATTGTGTGCCTATCTACATCAAAATTTCAGCGAGGGGAGGGGAAGGCAAAGGAGGGGCTCTTCTCCAAAAGACTATCAGCCGGCATCAGCTGCGTAGGCGGCCATGGAGCACGCAGTGGGGCAACATGAGAGGCAAAGGAGGTTAGAAGAGTTTGGGAATTAAACAGCAAGCCGAAATCTGTGAAGAGAAATTCTTTATGCATTGCCTTGGCGCAAAGCTAGAGACTTCACGATAACAAGGACTAAGTTCATGTCGAGTGAGGTAAAAAATGAAACGCCCAGTTAAGCTACAGCATTCATTTATAATATGAAGCCAATTATACTTCTACTTAGTTTCGGATGAAAGTTTGTCTAGCCGATGTATATGTTCGTTCGACTTAGACTTGGTAGCAAACCCAATCAACCTTGCAAGACACAGTAAAATCTAAAAGGAGACGCAAAACCCTAGTCCATTTCGCCTCTCGCTAAAAACGAGAGCACAAGGCGTAGCTAGTGAGTAGTTGTCTAAAATCAACTGTCCTAAGGACCGCTTCCCTCGGCATAGATTATACAGATATAAATTTAATTCTTTGGGTGCGCCGAGCCTGAACAAAAGCGACGAGTGTGTTCAGCCCAGTCCGTTATGCGCTATAACAACGCTACCAAAGCGAAAACTTACCCAAGGTAGAGCCCACCACTCGATCAGGGTAACGCTTCAAGACCTTTTCTTCCAACCAACCCAAGCCTAACAAAGCATCTTTATAATACGTACATAGTAAGGAGGTAGTTTTTATAATGCGGTCTCAGCTTACCTGACTCCAAATATTAATGAAAACTTGTAGACCGCCGGCAATATTTCGTAGGTGTACTTGAAGTGGCGTTCATTAGCTCACATCTGCCTATCTAACCACAGCCCACAGGAGATGCGGCTCCCTATACATGATCCAGCAAGTCAACGTTTCAGCCTGTGTACCTCAATACTCCGAGTCGCACAAGCACAAACATAATCTGGGATGACTATTGCCCTCGTACGGAAAAGTATCCGACGACAAGTGTCATGCCCAGGATTCGCATGAACACGCGATGCTTTGGCTAGTATGGTCGGTCTAGATGATTCATAGCACAGACTTTTCGTACACTTTGATGATCTATAATGGCAAGCAAAAGATCGCGCAGCCCGAGACTGGTACCGAACCCCTTCATTAAGAAGAGAAATCTGGAATGGAGCATTGACATCACCGGCTTGCCCCACGACGCCGCTAGCTCGAGCAGCTCCGACAATGATAGCGACAAAGAACAGGAGCAAGCAACCACCTCGGCTATTGAGGCTGGAAAGGCCAGCATAGAGAACCATCTCGATTACTTTCGTGTGCTTCTGGCTAAGAGCACTCTGTCACCATTTCCTTCAGATACCCCTCGTCTCTCTATAGATGGTTATCACAAGCTATATGAAGCCAATGCCGGAAGTCCCCAAGGGGCGCACTTCATTATTCATCAGCATGACCATCCGATCGCAGGCACACATTATGATCTCCGACTGCAAATCAATGAAACGAGCAGTGCGTCATGGGCTATCATGTACGGGCTTCCTGGGGATCCGAATAGCTTCCGGCTGAATCGAAATGCGACCGAGACGCGAATACACTGTTTATGGGTAAGCCCTACATAGCTTCCTATCTCAGGAGCTATAATGCGTCTAGTATTATCGACAGCTATACTAACCATCAATAGAATCACCTCATTGAAACGGGCTCTCACGCCACCGGCTCTATTCTCATCTGGGATACAGGAACCTACACCGTCTTGCCAGCACAGTCCAAGCATTCACAGGATGACTCGCAATCCTCGACAAACGAAGATGATGATTTGCCGCAGCTAACCGAGCAACAAAAGCTACATCAGGCCTTTGCAGCACGCAAGATCCGATTACAACTCCACGGGACACGTCTACCATCAACCTATGTGCTAAACTTGCGCCTAACTCGCGAAGAAGATGCCGTAGGTCGAGCACGCAGTACGCGCGTCCCCAAGACACGACGGCGACGAGGCGCTCCATCTTCGGTCTCGGGCAGGATAACCAGATCAAGCGCCAAAGGCAAGAAAGTGGCTGAACCAGCCACGAGCTCAGATTCAGAGCCAGACCCTATGCCATCTCCCTCCCGAGCCAGTGCCACAGGGCAGGGTGAGGGAACCATTAATGTTGGGCAAGATGATACAGACATTGTATACGCCCCTGTTGAGGAGGCTAAGGAGGGCGGGAAGGGTATTTCGGCTACCGAGCGTGAACTACGTGAGCTGGAGGATGAGGAAGTTCGTAAGACAAACGCATACCCTGGCGCGACAAATTCTATTGGCAGTGTGCACCAGCGACGGTGGTACGTATCTCTGGACCGCGAAGCGAGTGGGTTTGTAAAGCGACGAAAGGAGGGGAGGACGGTTTGGGAGGGCACAGACCTTCACTCGAACGCAACAGCAGGGAGTCATCAGGAAGCGGAAGGTACGAAAGAGAATGAAAAGGAAACCACCACGCCGCGACTAGCCTTTCCATTTTACGTTCGGGGCGTGGAGCACGAACGGAGTGTGGTTACGGGACGGCTAGGCAGTGATGTGCTAAAGGATGAGGGAGTGGTGGGATACATCGGACGGAAGGGCTGGCAGGCAATTCTCAAGTAAGGTACCTACCCCAGCGCTTTATGCCTGATATGTACTTCCCACATATGTACCTATGAAGGTATTCACCATGGTCACAAGGTGATCACATACAATAAGTGCATTTTCCCAGAATGGGGCATTACTTTGTTGAGAAAGGCTTTTGATTGCTCCAACTTTATTACTTCCCTGCGCATTACTTGACCATACCAGAGTGCCCCAAAGACGGCTTGCGCCCCAGATCTCCTATGGCAATCAATTTGTCTGCAGTACAGGAATCATAGTTTGTTTGTGTCGTATTACTGCCCAGCCTGGTGAAGCATGGGCCAACGAGTACAGGCAACAACGAACACTCATATGCTTCATTACTCAATATATTTCTTCACTCCATCAACACACAACCGTGGCAGCATGTTGGTTTGTACGTATACATAAGTCATGTCCCCATTTCTTGCAATACTGCCAATATCGCAATCATGGAGGAAGGAGATATACAAGTGAGCTATTCTATAAAACCGAATAACAAACAAGACAAAGATCCACTTGGTATCACAGAACCAAACACCGGAGAGGCCTCGGATCATCCCGCACGGGTCTCGGCCCGGCCCATTAAGTCAGCAGAACAAACACAGTTGACACTCATTGAACTTCCTGGGGTTAGAATTGTGATAGTACTTGATGCAACCGGTTGTTCATTCGGGAGGAATTAGAAGTGAATAGATTCCCTTTCATGTTTATAATAACCAATATGTTAATTGCTGTTCATCAGATGTTTCACGAGTCTGGTTCGTGACCTGCAACAGATTCTCCAATGGTTGCCTTACCAAGTTCTATTATGAATCTAATAGAACAACGCTCTATTTTTGCCTTTCATAACTAGGGGAGTCAGGATAGATAAGGAGGCCTGCTTGACGCTTGTCAAAGTGTCAACTAATGCATTACCCCTTTAATGTCAGCCTGAGTTGCTCTAGGTCAAGAATTATGTTTTCTTGGAAATTGAGATAGAGAGTCTCCTGCTAGGATCCCTTGCGATAGATTCATAGGCCATGGTGCTTAACCACCTAGTCTTGGGAGCCTTGCCAAAGCTTGCTTTTTTACTAGAATACCATATAACTAGACTTTCAGTGCGGTCCAGGAATCAGCATGCATACAAATAAAACCTCGCACTATCCTTCTTACCTTCAGTGGCCTTAACAACATTCATTGTATGGTTGGTGGGGTAGAATAAGAAAGTATGTATACCAAACAATTTCTATGCAGGAACACGTAGGAGGTAGCTGACGAATAATATAGATTGGACGAACCTAACTCAAAGAATGAGATTACAAAGACAAAGGTAATATTTTGAGTTACTATGAGATGCACACTCTATTCTATAAATAAGGTGTGACCGGCCTTCTTGGGACTAACAACTGGAGATAAATATCGCTTTTTGCAACGATGTGTATATAACGCCTACTTCCCTTTCGTAATACTCTCGAGTATAACATATTACGGAGTCAGGCATAGAACAAGTGAAGAAATATGGCATGTTGAAGTTAGAGCCAAGTGCCAGAATGATAAAAATGTAGATTTACCTACGCCTTGACATACCTCACCCTCTACCCTTTAGCTACGTATGTGCCTAAGCCAAACTACTCATAGCCGAGGCTTAAGGCTAGGAGAAAGGTTATACATTAGTAGAACACTGGTTCCCTCTACTATATAAAGCACACATGAAGTATGGCTGAGCAACAGTTTATTCTACGTTTAGTCGACCAGCCGTCTAATCACATGTATTAAGAGAACCTGGAAGGAGAGGCACGTGTCGACCACTGGGCACCAGGCTCTTCCCTGACACAAACCAAAAGAAGATTGCGTCGCATGCAATCCAAGCCCGAGCCACCATAAGGGCTGCACGCACACCCTCACAACTCCCAGCTCACTCAACCCAGAGACCGAAGACTAGATCAACCTCTATTTCAACGCGATAAATGCATCCCTACCTCCTCGAGGTCACCTAAATTTACTTTCCTAGGTAATTGAACAATGATCAAATTCGCGTCGACCTTTCACCCCAGCCACTTCACCAGCCATTACATACCCTAACATTAACACGCACGCACAACTCCCATCCTCACACATATTCCCACACTGATGTGTTTAGGTTAGCGCCTTGCCTTTCTATCGTTTCCTTACCCCTCCGCGATTCAAAGCTCTGTGCCTGTACACCGCACCGACGCTGAAT